AACAACTGATCCCCATCCGTCAATCACTTTCCTCTTTTATACCACTGTCCCGATCCCCTTCTGTAACAAACAGCAACCAATCATCACCGACTTACTATCAGCATCACTTTGCCGAATTGTTGCTGCTTGTTATTATTTCAAATGAGCAACGCATTCCATTCTAACACAGCCCTTCTGCCGCTGCTTGTTTTTTTTTTTCTAGTCAGCGACGCATCCAACTCAAACACTCCGGCTTGTTGTTGCTACTTGTTTTTTTCGAGTCAGCGACGCATTCAATTCAACTACGCAGGTTTGTTGTTGTTGCTTGTTTTGGTCGTCGACGAAATGCATTGTCCTAACGGTATGTTGTTTTGATGTCACAAAACATATAAACAACAATGAGGGCCAATCGATCAGGCGGGAAAAAATTCAACGAGGGCAGCAAATTAAATGGGGAATTCATATTTATTCAATAATTCATTTTTAACAAAAATAACAACAAACAAAACAAGAATAATAACATTGGTTGGGACGAAAACGAGGGTACCGACTTTCGTCGTCACAATACATATATATGGTCCAATGAATACCAAAATCGACTCGACGGATCCCATATTTAGTTAAGTGCTAAAGTTGACTTTCGAATTGGTAAACCCTATGAATGATATGGAATAGGGAGAACAAAAGAAACAACAACAAGCACTCACTACAATATCACCACACACGACCGGAATGAAAACAATGAGAACACGAAAAACAGAACATTGTTGTTGCCACTTGTTCTTTACAAAAACTGATCACAAATACAATAAAGCACAAACTTACCTTAAATTTGATGAAAGAAGGTAAACATTTTTTTTATTGAATAAATTCAAAAACTGGAATTGAATTGCCGGCTTAAACTTATATCCGCTTCGTTGAGGACAAAATGAAAATACCTGGGAGTCGTCGGTAATTTACTTGTAGAAGTTAAAAGCTTAGAAACCGATCCAAAGAAATTTTGTTGAAAGCACAATATTTCTTCCAGATGGATTTCGGATTGAGTTGGAAAAAGAGAAACAAATAATACACAAGCAGAATTTGTTTGTGTTGCGAAAAGAACCAGGAAAACCTGAGCTGCCAGAAGCAAAGATATTTTCCCTTCACCTACTATTTTGACATTAAGAGGAATCTACTTATTTTACCAATTTCGAATGGTCTGGACCACATTTTCCGATTTGCTTAGAAATTTATATTTAGGCTACTTTGGGGTAGAGAACCTTGTAAAAATTTCAACAAAGGTACATATTTTGGTAAAATCTTTTTACCGTTACCGTTTGCCGACTGGCGATTGTATATTTTTTAATCATCATTGAATTTGACTGTGATCAAAAATATAGGCTTTATGGGTACTCCAGCGCACGATTGGAAATGCTATGGTAATGGTCTTCTAAACATAGCAAATTCCAAATTAAAATGTAGCTAAGTTCCAAATATTCCTGAATTAATTTCGACAAGTAGTCTTTCCTTCTTCTCTTTTTAGGCGGACACTAAGAGTTCGGAACACTGTCGGCAGCTTGTGACTGAAGTTCTTCCCAAAAGGTAAGTATGTACGTATAGTTAGTGTTTTAGCTCTTTAATTATATTCCTAGGTCAGAAAATAATAAAAATGTTTTCCACTTTCAGATGAGGCCAAACAAAGAAGGTACGTCGATACCACATAAAATCGACGATCTAACTGAAGCCTGTTAACCTTACCTAGAATTGAATCATGATTTCGAATTGAGTAGCAATGTAAGAGATATGGAAATGAATGCAAATGCCTTAAAAAACACGAAAAAAGAAGAAATAGAAAATAGATCGAAACAAATTAGAGAGAAATTAAATCACGTTAAATGCGAAGACACAGATATCATAACTATTGAAGTGACTCTCTTCCACCAAAACGCATATTGAACAAAATAAAATTTTGCCGACGGCAAATTCACTTTTTAGTTTTCAGAATAATTTGCACTTTTATAAAGGGACGAAAGCACAAATTTACCTTAAATTTTATAAAACAAGATGAACATTTATTGATTAAATAAATCCAAAAACTAGAATTTAAATTTCGGCTTAAATTTATATCCGGTTCGTGGAGGACCAAATGAAAATACAAAACAATATTTCTTCCAGATGAATTCCGGGTTGAGTTGAAAAAATAAAAAATAAAGAAATAAAACACAAACAGAATTGGTATGTATTGGAAAAAATTTAATGTATTTTTTCTTTATTGGATATTCAGTACAAAGGAAGAATAGAAGTCCGTGAAAGCATAGACGACATGTTTGAAACCCGGAGGTATAAATTGCCAAGTTAGTCCTTGTAGAACATAGTAGGCGGTGACTCCGTTACAAGAGGCTAGCAGGAAGTATCCGGCTAAGAACTTTGAAGCCCCCACGAATGTTGTGCCATTGTCGGAATACAAATACAACGCCACAACCTCTGCGTGTAACAAAGCGATGAAACGCTGAAAGAAATGTGGATGTGGAAGGATCTGAAGTGAGTTCTAGAAACACACGAAGTCACATACGTGTCCTTTTGTGACACGACAGGACCGACCATTGTATGTTTTTATATCGAAAACCAAGCAAAATCGAGACCAGTTCTGGCGAAGGGGTGAGAAAATTCAGTCCTTTCTGGAGGAAGGACTGCCATTAGCTGTTTCTGACAACGTTTTTTGTTAAAGATTCAAACTTTACACTTGTTGATTGTGACCTCGATGCTGTTTTTCACGTTGGGCAACCAATATTGAGAGCGAATTACTATCAGAACTAGCTGATTACCACCATAAAGAGTACGAAAGAAACCAGCAAATTTTGAAAATGGTAATTAAACGGAAGAGTGATTAAATGTTTCTCAACATAAGATAGACCAGAAGAAAAAGAAAGTCGGCCACATGAACGAATAATTCCATCAGCATCTAGGAAAGGATTTAGATTACGAATACAATTGCAAACAAGAATTTGGATAGAATGCCTTTGCACAACCGAATCCAACGATTTCTAGCTATATTCAGCTCATCGCTAGTCAAAGGGCCCGATCTGTGAACGGAATTAGTACGAAATATCTGATGCGTACGAGAGATGAATCGATAAACAAGAGTGAGGGCACCTAAATCTTCTGCATCATAATTTTTTTGCCAAAACCACGCAAGGAGATAACCAACCGACTGCACTTAACCCGCCGGGAGAAGGAGAGGAGGCATTAAATACTACTCGAAACTTTGTAGATACGTTTCCAGGTTTGATAACGGCATGGTGAGTTAAATAATAAATAGAACCGGATGAAACGTTGGAATGGGTAATAAAGCGCAAATGGCCTAGATCACAGTATTCCCGAACGACACGATCATATTCCTCCTTTAACTCGGGAGTTCGCATGATTCAAACTTCGTTCCTAAGGAACTGAGCCATATCACTGGACCTGAAATGTCCTAAACCTTCGCCATTAAAATTGGTCCCCTTAAAAAGTAAACAAACAATGTATTCAGCGTCAGTAGTTCTTGTTGTAGTTTATTTGAAAAGATCTTCGCAATATTTATCGGGTGGGGACAAGAAGTTTTTCCCTGGAAGATTCTCGTGAAATCTCTTTATGCAAATTAGAGATAATGTTGACGACCCTGGACCCCAGCAGTCCGCTGGCCATTACAATTTAATACCCATCCAAATGTATGCTATATTGTCAATGGAAAAAACCAAAATAACAGTGGTTAATAGCATACAACTAGCATCCGAATCGGATGAGTCGTATTGCTATTACATTGTGAAACAAAATCCATGTTAGAATTAAAGAACAAAATAAAATACAATAAAAAGTGTCCATCGCACTTGGATCTGAATCGGATGCCCTTGTATTGTTTTGTAACTTTTTTTGTTTATTGTTGCAGCTGCTGTTGTACCGTTATTCATTTTTGATGCTTCTTCCTTTATTGAAGCAAAATTTTATTCTGTGAAGTGTTTTTGAAAGTGCAAGTTGTGAATATTGAACAAAAGTTAATAAAATAAATTAATAAAATAAGAATATAGTAAGTGTTGTGTGTTAAATAAGTTAAATAAAATGTCAGGATTCAGTAGGAGTAATTTAAGACGACTAAAGAAAGTGGAAGCAGACAATTTAAAAAGAAATGCACAGTTGAGGACGGACTGTTTGGAAAACAATGATATTGTACAAAATGAGCAGATTCCATGCATTCCAAAATTGTAGAAGATTTTGGAAAATATGTAAGAATATTAAAAACTCTCCGTTATAATCTATTAATAATTGAATTTCTTTCAGGTTAGTATCATAAAAATTATAATTTCGCCAGATTAAAAACTTTGCAAGATTAATGACATTTCTATAATATTATCTTACAGCTACCCAAAATAAAAAATAAAAAATTGTTCTATATTTTCTATCCTTATTTCAGAAGCTGTCATATGTGAAGGATTCAATGAACTGGATTACGCCAAAAAAAAATTAGAAATTGTTTCAAATTCCCTAAGACACTTCCGAACAATGTCCTACAATGAAAAACTGGAAAAATTTAATGTTTTTCCTTTAGTTTAAGCTTTATTTCTTCCCACGACTTTTGAATAAGTTTTATGAATTTCGTTTTTATGCATTATTTCTAATTATAATAAGAATATTTTATTGTTGAAACACTGTTAATAATACGAATATTTTAATAAAAAAACAGCTGAAATTTAAGTTCCACAATCTAAAATGTTGATGGAATCGGACCATCTAACCTTCGCTTACAATGTTGATAGATTTCGGAACCATCCAACATTCGCTTACGTTGTCGGTCGATTTCGGAACCATCCAACATTCGCTTACATTGTCGGTAGATTTCGCACTCGTCTGACGGCCTAGGCCATCGATGTGTAAATGTAAGTAGAAATTGTATACAGGCTTTGGATGTGTCGCACCTACATTGTCATTGGTCTCAGATGGAAGATGTATATGCTAAAAAATCCGCTGGGACGAGACTGTCTCTTGGGCGAGAAGAGAGCCACATCTGCCTGCTCTTGAACTGAAAAGCATTAGGCTTGGCATCACATCGCTAGCAGAAAGAAGGTCAACTTGTGAGGTCTTGTAGAAGTTAGGGTCAACCAATAAATTATTTGGAAGATCTTTGAATGAAGAAGTCGGAATAGGGTGACTTGGCAGATTCTCCGAAAGTTTAGGGACGACGAAGGCAGCAATTGTTAATTCAAAATTGTGGTCAAATTGCGAAGAGAGAATGAAAGTGAGCCGTGTATATGAAACGCCCTGTTTTCTCTTTGAACGACGTGAGAAAATAAGTAACCGGCGTCGGCGTTAAATATGATTGGCTGAGTGGAGTTCGAATAGGTATGTGGGTGCACTCACATTCACATACATATGCAAATTCCATTCAGCGATGTAAACAAATGCGATGGAAAAACCAGTTGCCGGCTTGCAAGTGGATTATAAGTTTGGGATGAAGTCAGTCTTAAAAGTGATGTCGGCAAATTAAGATCCGCAAACGTCCACCCCCTCCCCTCCCGTTAAAAGTGAAAAACCAATAAGTACAAAATGCAGTTAGTGTTCAATAAAAGAGTAAAAAAATAAGAGACAAAATATTGTACACGAAACACATAAGGAAAAAAATTACAACACATAACATTTGAACAATTGTCACTCAATCTACAAAAATAAATAAAAAATACAGATGAATTAACCTAAAAATATTGCACATATCCCCATGAAAAATAATCTAAAGTTATTACGCCCAACTGAACTTAAACTAAAAATCTACAAGCTAGAATAAATAGTAAGGAATAAAATACTGTTAATAACTAAAACTAAAGTGAATTAAAAAATAAAATAACAAGTGGAAAAATATTAAACTTTTTTAATTACATAAAAGGCCAATAAGGTAAAAATAATAACAAGACATTTCGTGGTCCTCCGTTGCCGGATTAAAAGTGTGTTTTTCAAATTATTAAAACAGAAACGCACTTAGAAAAAAAAAAAAAAAAAAAAACACAACATTAATCAAAAAAGTTCAGGAATACAGTGGAAAGAAGAAACAAAAAACAAATCTGTACAAGAAGTGAAACATACAAGTGAAATTTAAAACAAACAAGTAAAAAAGCGGTATGTTCGGCCGGGCCGAATTTTGAATACCCTTCATCATTTGGAACGAATTAGAAAATTTTCAAAAAAATAAAATCCATTAAATTTTATTTTAAATCTTTACAATTTCTAATATAGGAAGGTGCCGATATATGGGGGTATATATGATATTGTGGACCTATTAAGACAAATCTATGTCTGGGTGTAAAGCATTCACAAGGAACTCCTTGTGTGGATTTTCAGATAATTCCATTGGAAAAAGTGGCTAAAATCATCAAACTACTGAATATCGGGGTGTTATATGTGGAATATACGATATTACGGACCTATATAGACATTTCCCTTTCAGGGGGTAAAGTGCTCACAAAGAAATCCTTGTGTAGATTTTCAGACAATACGATTTGAAAATGTGGCCAAAATCATCAAAATACCGAATATCGGGGGTACCGTTATATAGGTGCTATACGATATTATTAACCTATATAAAGAATTCTCTGTCGGGGGGTAAAGTGCTCACAAAAAACGCCTTGTGTACAATTTCCGTTGAAAAATGTGGCTAAAATCATCAAAATACTGAATATCGGGAGATACCGTTATATTGGGGATATACGATATCGTGTACCTATATAGATAATTCTCTGACGAGGTATAAAGTACCCACAAGGAACTCCTTGTGTGGATTCTCAGACAATTCCGTTGAAAAATGTGGGTAAATTCATTAAAATACCGAATATCGGGGGATACCGTTATATGGGGGATATACGATATCGTGGACCTATATAGACAATTCTCTCTCAGGGGGTAAAGTATTCACAAGGAACTACTTGTGTGAATTTTCAATCAATTCCATTGAAAAATGTGGCAAACATCTTCAAAATACCGAATATCGGAGGGTACCGTTATATGGGGGATATACGATATCGTGGACCGATATAGCCCATCTTCGAACTTGACCTGCCTGCAGACAAAAGAGAGATCTGTGCAAAATTTTAGCTTCCTATCTTAATTTGTTTAGACTGTAGCGTGATTACAACAGACGTACGGACAGGGCTAAGTGGTCTTAGAATTTTACGCTGATCAAGAATATTTATATTTTGTTGGGTCTAAAATGATTATTTCGATGAGTTACAAACGGACTGACGAACTTAATATATCCTCCACACTATGTATGGTGGAGGGTATAAAAAAGTACACTACAAAACAGAATGTGAATTAGGAAAGATATAAAATCAAAAATTAAAGTTTTTTCTTCACAAACACTAAATAAGATCAGCAACTGAAAAAAACACGAGTCAGAGACAAACTGGTTGACAAGACAATAGAGAGAACAAAGTGAGTACCAATGAAGTTTTTTGTGACTTAAAGGAATACATGGAGTGGCGAAATTTGACTCCGACACTGTACCTTTAAATGATAAAAGCGCTATTTTAAAAAAAGAAAAATTTGACACCCTTTGAACTGACTCCAATTTATCAAAATTTTGCTATTGAGGGCTAATGTTGACCCTTTATACAATTTTCGGGAAAACCAAATACGTTCACATTTGCACACATACATACATTGAAAAATATTTGGAATTTGTGGAAATTTTTGGAAGAATCTGGAATATAAAAAAATCATAGGTTCCCAAAAAGGTTAAATTTTTTGGAAAAATTTGTGGGCAGTTGAGAAAGTATTTTATAAATATTTGTCCGTCCGCAAACCTAATTGAAATTGTTGGTGCATTGATCTGCCATTTTTGAAAGTTTTACATAAACGACGCTACTTTTGGAAACCAATGCCATATATTCACGTACAAACATCTACTTTCCATTGAACAAAACTATTTACATAATCGCCATATTGGAGTCGCCATAAATAAGTGTTGGGATTGTTTTGGAAAATTGACGTGTTTAAAGGTGTACAAACGTTAAAATTTTAAACACACACGGAATTTTTCTAAAGTTGCATACGCAAAAATGACCTGTGAGGTATTTTAAATATTTTTTATACTTTTGTCTTCTGTTCTTTTTTCAACATCGGGGAATATATAACATATAACAATGTTATGACTATTTTTTTATTTTTCATTGCGGAACTACAAGAATTTGCTGTGTGATCCATTTTGCTGAAAATATTTGGAATTTTGTCGAAAAGATTATTGATTAAATTTTACTTACTAAAATTTGTTGGTCGAAATATTTGATTTTTTCATTTTTTTTCTCTCTTTTACCCAAAGCAATCCTACACATATGAATATTTTTGCCGATGTTTCACAAAAATATATATTTTTTTGGAAATTTTCAAATATTTTCTGCGAGAACATTTTTGAAGATTGCGTGGTAAACTTTCTGCTTTTGACCCCAAACAAATTCATAATTTACAATAATGTGCTGAGTTTGAATGACCCTGTGTTTTGAAGCTGTAATCTTTAACCCATTATATTTTTATTTTTTTAAAAATTATATGAAATTTCAAAAAAAAAAAAATTGAAAGATTTATTTGCCAGAATAATTGTTTCGTGTGATGAGACTAAATAGAATATTTGTTGACTCACACAGACATTCAAAACACATTTTTTTTGAAGTGTCCCTGATTATTCCCCAAGAAAAATTGACGCTCTTATCGAGGCTCTTTGGATTTTGAGGGACTAATTTTAAAAGCTATTCTGGCAGAGCTTACTTTATTACTAAAGGCTATGTCTGCTTGTTTGTTTGCTTTGCCACTAAGGCCATTCGATCTATTAGCCTTCGGGGTTGTCCGTCGTGTATATATTTGATAACGGAACCCATTTTGTGGGAGGAGTTGATCTGTTAAAGCGAGATCATCTAGCTTTCATGAAAAATATACAAAATATTACCATTACCTTCCGAACAAAGACTGGTGTGCCGAACGCAGCACAAGCCGCCAAGTGAGAAGAGAGTCACGCCGCCTTGTTGCCGAACGCAGCCCAAACAGAGCCGAAGTCCGCACTGCCCGACAGATAGCCGTCGAACGCCGCCCCAGTGCTGGTAGACGTCAGCGCAGCGTGTCCGATAACCGACTGACTCCCCAAGCCTGAGCCCAACGACCAGGCCATTGGCAATACTCAATAATATCTTGGACATTTCAATTTTTGGATTTTTAAATCAAATATTTGCTTTAATATTTAAACCTGCTTGTCACTTCAATTGAATTAATTTTTTTTTTCGACTCGACGCTCAACACATATAATTTCTTGTCGTTATTTTAGTAAGATGGGAATTAACAACAAAAGTTTTTGGAAGTAAACTTTTGATTTCGTTTTTTGCACCCACTTAGACATTTTTGTTTGCACATCTGGGAACTTTTTTCAAATTCTTGCAAAAAAATTTGTTATAAAGTCAGACCCAATATCGTACAAAGATGGCCGAAATTATTCATGAGAAATTTTCGAATTGCGTTAACGACCTGCGGGATTATGTATCAATTTTATGCATTGCGCAGGCAGATGATCATATACATACACTAGATGCATCACGAGTTGAGCTTAATTCATTCTACGATTAAGTTAAGCGGGCTTATGTGGAACGTGGAAACTACGTTGTTGAGAAAGAGGAAAAGCCAATAGATAAGAACAAACTGAGAACCCATTACCTAGAGGCTATAAAATCTTTTATAAAAACAATCGGCTCGCTTAATGGTCAAATCCAGAAACTTTAGCAGAAGGAAACCGACGAGAAAATGAAACGAGAGAGCCAGCTGGAACAAATGGCTAACTTTACACCACTGTCAAGATTGCCACTATGTGACACTAACACCTTTAAGAGAGGTTATAAAGCTTGGCCAAACTTTCGTGGCTTATTTACGGCTATTTATATCCAGAACTCCAAATTGAGTTATGTTGAGAAGCTTTTTCATTTGACCCAGAAGACAACCGGAGAAGCAAGAGAAGTAATAAGTCATGTCCCTCTTGCTAATGATGGTTTCGAGTTAGCCTGAAAGAGTTTAACCTAGCAATATGAGAATAAGAGAATGCAAGTGAATGAACAGTTCAAAACTTTATTCACTTTACCAAATGTTTCAACTGACTCGACATACAGAATTCAAAGGCTAGAGCGAACGATTAACAGTTGCATACCGACCCTGGAGACATTAAAGGTCGAAGTTTCGGGATGGGACCCAATACATAAATATCTGTGTTCCAGCAAACTACCAAGAATTTTTTTTAGAAGATTTCGAAAATACACTTAAAGAATGTAAGACGCTTCCATCTTGAGAAGACTTTAATAACTTTTTGACACACAAATTTAAAACTCTAGAATCAGTTGGTAATATAAAGCCAAATTTTTCGAAACCGAATATTTTAAATCAGAGCAGACAAGAAAATAATAAAAAAAATAAGTTTACCAGCAGTTTTCAAACCAATCTTTATCCGAGGACTCAACATCCGTCTAAACCCAATATTAATGCTATTCAGCAAAAAAAAAAAAACAAAGTATCGAATGTGTGTCAAATCTGCAAAGCTAACAATTTCATACGGGATTGTCCACAATTTATTGCCAAGAACACAGTTTATAATAGGATTCATCTTGTCAAAATCTCACATTTGTGTTACAATGTAATATGAGACACCATACGATGCTACATAAGGGAACGGAGACCCTTACTACAACACAAAACCTGGAACAAGATGAAAAACAAACCGATATCCCGGAGACACTTTAGAGACGAATTGCCAATCATACGACGCACGAGCCATAATCGACTCTGGATCACAATCCACTTTTATCACCCATGGTAGAAGAATACAGGTAGTCGCATCGACACAGCTGCTGGGACAATGAACTGTCAAACCGATTTTGGAATTGAAAATATATATATTCTTCTACCATGTTATCACCGAAAAGTTAAAAACCGTTTACATTTTCGAACTAAACGAAATCTTGTTCACGTCACTGGAATAAATCTACTCATCTCGGAAACATCTTCCAAAGCGTGTGTTTTCACATTACGATCTAGATTTGACTCCAACATTAAATTAGAAGTTAGGGCCCCTTGTTTTTAAGTCATTACCATCAAATTTACCGCCATTTTCCTTAGACGACAAACACATGCGAGATACTACGAGCCTGCAGTCAGTAGACCCTAAATTTTATATTAGCCAAACAGTGGATCTTTTAATAGGAATGGATATAGGACCCCTCATCTTTACAGTCGGTGTACCTATGAAATCTATCGGTTCCCTGTTGGCACAAAATACTGTTTTTGGATGAATAATTATAGGACCTTTATTAGATGAAGCTCACAAGAAGAGAAAAATATTACTTTGCAACACCATATCAATTGAAAAAATTCTAACACGTTTTTGGGAGGTGGAAGAGACCCCAAAACAGGTTTAGAAATCAGATGAAGATGTATTTTGCGAACAAAACTACTTGGAAACTATCAAAAGGCGCTCTGAAGTCCAGAGATTAAGAAATTATATGACAAGTCCATCCTTGAATACATTGACTTGCGACATATGAAAAAAATTCCTAAAAATGATATAACAAAAACACCAAACTATTATTTACCGCACCATGCAGTCATAAAACCAGAAAAAACACCATCGAAATTAAGAGTCGTTTTCAACGCTTCAAGTCCTACGTCAAATAAAAGAAGTCTAAGTGACAACTTATATGCGGTTCCAGTTTTACAACAGGATATTGTATTGCAAGTACTAAAGTGGAGATTCTTCAGATACGTTTACAATGCAGACGTTACAAAAATGTACCGGCAGATTTTGTTGGACCCTAGTCAGACACAGTATAAACGAATATTATTATTTAACTTTCGGGGATAATTTTGCACCCTTGCTAGCACTTAAAAACTCTTATTCAATTAGCTGAAGACACAGCAGAAACTTATCCATTAGCTTCGAATATAATTTTGGAAAACTTATACGTTGATGGCGTTTTAGCTGGAGGTCATTCGATCGAAGACACCATAAAATATCGCATGGAGCTAGCAGCTGCTATGGAATGGGCGAAATTTGAGTTAATGAAATGGACTGCTAATGATCTAAAATTAATTTATGACATGCTCAAAGAAAAGCTTAACCCAGAAAATTCATTGGATATTTCTGATGATGCTTCGACAAAAACACTTGGAATACGTTGGAGCATTGCTGAAGATTTCTTCAATTTCACACCACATGTAATGGACATTAAAAGAGCTAATATGAATAATGGATGGCTTGTACCAATTGTAGTTATGCAACAGATTTGGCTTGATAAAATTAACTGGGATGACACACTTAAAGCAATGACACTCAAAAACTGGCTGAACTTTGTTAAATATAGCGTGGACATTAAGCATTTAAAAATTACGAGATGGATAAATTACACTACAGTTAGTACGGCTGAAATTCATGGATTCTGCGATGCTTCCGAAAAATCATATGCAGCAGCATTATATATCAGAGTGCAGACTGCAGACAACGAAATCAAAAAATCATTGCTTACCGCCAAAACAAGAGTTGCTCCAATTAAGAAAATGTCACTTCCCAGGTTAGAACTTTGTGGAGCTGTAATATTACATATAATATTATATCAATCTCTAAATTGCAAATTTTTCGACTCATTACTGGACTGACTCAACAATAGTCCTCACTTGGCTAAAAAAAAACCACCGTGTCATTGGTCAGCCTTTGTGGGAAATCGAACATCTGATATCTTAAAAACCGTTGGAGTAGAACATTGGAATCATGTAGACTCTGTAGATAACCCAGCAGATATTGACAGCCGAGGTTGCCCACCAAGCGAACTTATTAGTAACGAACTCTGGTGACATGGACCGCAATGGCTCAAAATGACTAAAGATCGTTGCCCAGCATACAACAACCCAGATGATACAAACTTAGAGTCAAAAACAGTAAAAACCTTGACCCTGTTCGAAGAAGGAGGTGACCCTTTACGAAATTTTTCATCTTTAACAAAGGTCTACCGATAATATGCATTAAGGTTTTAAGTTTTTGGAAGAATACTAGAGTCAATAGAAGGAATCTTAGAATTTCTTCAATAGATCTTCAATAGAAATTCAGAATGGGAAAAGTAGTAGCATATTCAGAGTCAGAAATTCTTCTATGCAAACGAATATGCATCACTTGAAAAGAAGATTTGAATTTCATCGTCTAGTTCATTAATGGTCCTCAATCCCTTTTTGGACTCAAAGGGAGTTATGAGAGCTAATGGCAGATTGGTATAATCGCCTGTACCTACTTACACTGAACGACATTCAATAATTCTACCGCATGGGGCAATTTTGAGCAAATTTTTACTTGAGTTTACGCACAAGATCACACTACACGGGGGTAATCAATTGAATATTGGATATTCGGATTTAAGCAAAGAGGATCAAGAAAAGAGCCCTGAGTCTAATTATGGGGTCACTTCCTCCAGAACGGACGCTCATATCGAGGCCCCCGTGGAGGACCAAATAAAAATACCTGGGAGTCTTAGGTAATTTTCTTATAGACATTAAATGCTTAGAAACCGATCCAAAGAAATTTTGTTGAAAACACTATATTTCTTTCAGATGGATTTCGGATTGAATCGGAGAAAAAGAAATTTCCCCTTCACCTACCATTTTCACATTAACAGGTATCTACTTATTTTACCCATTTCGAATGGTCTGGACCACATTTTCCAATCGATTTGCTTTAAAATGTATATTTAGGCTAGTCTTTTTACCGTTCCCGTTAAACAACTGGCGATTGTATATTTTTTAATCCTCATTGAATTTTACTACGATCAAAAACATAGACTTTATGGGTGCTCCAGCGCACGATTGGAAATGCTATGGTAATGGGTGTATGGGAGTAATTTACTTTGGCTATTCTGAAATCATTCTGTTCTCACGCACGATCTTCCAAACATAGCAAATTCATTTGAATAAAAAATGTTGCTAGGTTCTTTACAATACTAAAGATTAAGATAAGCTCTAACATGGGGCTATTATAAACAGTTGAGCCAGATGTGTGAATAATTGTGCTTAAAGAATGCATTAAAGACTATGTTTACGGGCCGCTAAAGAGGATCGGACCAGATAGTACAAAAGAAAATGTACAATACAAAAAAGTAAGTCAAATTGAAAAAAATGGAAAATAAAAAATTTGAAAAAAATATGTATGTCACAAAAATATTTTTATTCACATTTTAATTGTGATAATTTTGCCGAATTCTTAATGTTTCATCCTTTTCTTCCAAGATGGCCTAAAAATTTGGCGTGAATTGTCAAAATATGTGCAGCCATTATTGAGTTGTAAGCGTAGTAACTAACACCACTTTCTTTTACATACATAAGTGCGGTTAAATATTAATTTTTTTGTCAAGTAAATTGCCAGGTACTTATATTTTTATATTTATAATATGAATGTTTGCATAGTATTCAGCTTATTCATACAATTATTATTATATCTTTATTTCTTCTTGTCCTTAGAATGTCGCGCAACTACGGTTTTACAGCTGCTCAATTGATAGACGTGTCCATAAATTATTGCACATACATAAATACATTACAGCTCCTTTTAAATATATTTTAGAAGTGTATTTTAAATATCATATAGATATGAAAACTAGATAGTTTACACATGAAATTTAAAGAAACTAGGTAGCCTTGTTTTAAAAGGATTTACCTAAGGTTTCAATTTCATTAAGAAAATAATCCATATCATATTCATTAAGGCAAGAATTCTGCAAAACTATTCTGAAGAAATTCGGCAAATTGTGTAGAGGCTGATATGTTACCATCATTGATCCCTTTTTTATCATCGCTTCTTTAATTTTTGGCGCTACTTTATGCAGCTTATCCCAAAATTCAGAATCTCGTTTCATTTGTCGTAAGCTGGGTGGCACATACCAAAAACATATATTAGTACATTCGGGATTTTCCAAAACTAATTCAAATCCTTCTCGAGCTTTTATACTTTGTGTTATATATTCTGCCATACTAAATATGTGGTTAATATGTTCCTCTAGCCCACGTGTACCTTTAGCTTTCCACATGAACCAGAATTTGAAAACATCAGCTCTACGACCGCATTGAATGTGTTTATCACCAGTGTCATAACTAGTATCATAAAATTTGTCTTTTTGAAAAAGATATGTAGCATTTGTTGAATTGCATTTTCTCAGAATATCCTTATGTTTGGTTAAAAAGGTAGAACACTGTTGTGATGCTGTTAGCATTTTGTGGGGATTCCATGTAACAGAATCAGCTCTAAAAAATAAAAGGTATTAATATATTTTACGCTAATTAATGGGAATTTAATTAATATATACCTTTCAATACCATTCAGAAGACGGTGGTATTTTGGACTCATTAACGCACCACCTCCCCACGCAGCATCCACGTGCATCCACATATTGTATTTATTACACAAATCAGCAATTTTTTCAAGGTTATCAAAAGCGCCTAAAACTGTTGTCCCAGCGGTCGCCGATACCATCAGTGGTTCACAGTCTGCGCTTATACATGTTTCTATATTTTCCATCAAATCTTCTACATTAATTTTTCCACATTTGTCCGTTCGAATTTTGCACACATTTTCGCTTCCAAATCCCATAAACATTGCAAGTTTTTCTACAGAATAATGTGAGTCTTCTGATGTGAATATGATTTGCCGCTTTGCACCAAATAGTCCATTTTTCTAATAATAAAGATAATAATATATAATTATGTTAACTATTTAAGTAATAATTTAATTAACTACAACAAAGCTGGTAAAAAGTGTTATAGTAAAAGTTTTAAAGATCGCTCCACATTCGTATGCAGTTTCTTATTAATTCGCTTTTCATATAATTAAAATTAAGAACTTTTAAGAAATTGATAAATTTTAATTCACTAATATCTCTCTTAAGTGCATTTAAATTATTGATGATTACCCAGTAAAATGGGACAATAATTTACTTTTGTAACATTCTCCCATCTTATATTATTTATGACAAGGTAGAATTATTAAAGATGAGAAAGTATTGTTGTATGCGAAAGGTACAAATCTAGAACCCTTGTAAGATTCCTTAGAAAACCACAGAAGAGTGGCCTTAAATTTTCTATTCTACATTTTGAAATTTTAGAATTCATAAAAAAATTAATTGTTTTGTTGTATTTGTCACTTTTTTCATTTTTATTATAAAAGTTTTATTTAGCTCACATCATATGTTTTATTATTTTATTATTTATTCTTGGGTCAAATTTAGTCATTCAAATTGCACACTCTTCCTGTCTACCGATTAATCTGAAAATTCTTATACACTTTGGATTTTGGTGACAATACAATTATGTTTATTCATTATCATTATAAATTCAAAATGGTGGTTAACGTAGGTTTTATCAGTCCCCTCAATATGGGTATCAAATGAAAGGGCCCAACAAGCAGAATACAATATACTATATAAAAAAGAAATCTAAGATGGCGGCTGCTCAAAAAAGGCGGGTAAAGTAGGTTTTATCAATCCCATGAATATGGGTATCACATGAAGGTGATCATCCAGTAGATGGAAATCCAAAATGGATGGTAACTTAGGTTTTATCCCATCAACATGGGTATTAAATGAAAGGTCACAACAAGTAGAATACAATTTACTATGCAAAATTGAAATCTAAGATGGCCGAGAACAATTTTTATCAATCCCACCAATATGGGTATCAAATAGAAGGCTTGACAAGAAGAACACAGTGCACCATACAATATATAAAATGGGCGCAGCCACTAAATGGCGTATAATTATAAGATTTAAATTTAGAAATTACATCTGTATTTAAGGTATCTGATTAATCCAGCCTGAATCCACCACCAAAGTCGAGATTTTGTATAGTGTTGGGGACTGTGTGGCGTTAGGGTGGCTACAAATACGTCGTTAGCGGTACATGACCCAGGTTAAAGTGAAAGGTTAAAACGCGTCGAGAACTGAATGGCATTTGGGTTTATAAAAATGATATGTCGTTAGCGTTTTCCCCTCAAGACTCAGCCGCATATGGCAAAAAATGGTAAAAAATATAAAAAATACAAACAAATAAAACAGAATCTGCAGCACAACATAAACGAAGGCTTCAAAAAGCGAAAGAAAAGTATAAAGCAAAACGAACTAGCTTCAAAAACACCTGAGCAATATGAAGCCAGGTTAAAAAATAAAAACTAGAAAATAACAAGTTAATAAGTAGTAAGTTCTGCCGGGCCGAACTTTGAATACCCTCCACCATTTCGAACGAATTTGGAAATTAAATCCATAAAAAAATTCTGTGAAAATTTTAAAAACACCAAATGTAGCCGTTATTTTGGTGTCTATTCGAGGTGGACCTACATAGGCATTGTTTGTCATAATTCAAATTCGAAACTTGAAATAAACAGTGAATAATGTAGCTAAAATCATCAAAATATCGTATATAGGGAGGTACCGTTCTATGGGGGCTATACCTAAATGACCCATTTACGAGCTTAACCTGCCTACTGGAAAAATAAACATGTGTGCAAATTTTAGACTTCTATCTCAATTCGTTCGAAAGATAGCGAGAATACAACAGACAGAGAAACAGCACGCAGAGAAAAAATATTTGTCGCTTTTGTTGGAACAATAATGTCTGTTTTTGTTCCAGCAATTCATTTGTTTTCTACAAACATTGCAATTGCAAATCCAAAAACACAATCTTTGCTCCAAACATAAAACAACAAAAACAACTTTCCAAATTCCGAAGTATTGTAAAAATCGTTAACAATACCGATAGTTAGACCCGTCATAATTTAGAATGTTTACAAAAAATATTGTCATTAAAAATTGTTTTTTTTTTGGAGTTTGAAATATGTGCTGTTATTTTTTTTCAGGAGATATACATTTTTTTATTTCTTATCTCCCTTCCGTTAAATCTCTCTTTTTTTACTCTATTCATAGACAAATGAACATATAGACAACGAAAAGTTAGTTTTGTCTTTTTTTCCAGGTGGCTCTCATCTTGTTTTGCATAGTCAACATGCTGATTTACGCGTTCAAGCCACTCGACTTCGAAAACACATTTTATCGTTTTTCAAGAATTTCACTGGAATATTCCTATATTCTTCGATGTCATCACGTACTTTTCACATTTTTTTATTATGAAATAATTTTCAACTGGCAAATATCCTACAGTTTTTGTTATTTTTAACGTTTTAGAATTGAGTGACTTCAATATTCCCACTCAAACCCCTGAAACGATATGGACGACATCTGCTGATTCGATTTTTTTCGAAGATAAACGGTGAGAGCATTTCGTTGTCTATATTTTCATTTGTCTATGCTCTATTTGAAGTTGCATTCTTTTTCGTGCTCTCTTTATTTTGTGTTTAACAGCCGTTGAAGTTTCTTGTGTCTTCTCCGAAATCAGTTTTTGTTTGGGATTCGAAGAAGGCGGTTGAAGATAAAAAATAGACATGCGTGACTTCAAGTTTTTAAAAACAACATTCCAAAACAAAAATGAATTTGTTGCAGTATTATTTGATGGAATTGATGATTATAAATTGTTTACAAATGAAGGTGGTTGAAGATAAAAAATAGACATGCGTGACTTCAAGTTTTTAAAAACAACATTCCAAAACAAAAATGAATTTGTTGCAGTATTATTTGATGGAATTGATGATTATAAATTGTTTACAAATGAAGGTAATATACATATGTGAAAGAACCGCTGGACTAATTTTAACGATTCATACAAATTCGGAATTGTCTCCTGTCCGAAAAGGATAATACCCAAAAAAATCGCTTAAAAATGTGATATATTAACATTTTCATTTTGACTTTTGAAATGTACAATTGTAATGTTTTATTTTGCATGATTTTTTTTTCCATTTTGACTTATTTTTTTCTAATGTACATTTGTAGTGTTTTTTATATTTTATTTTCGAATTCGAATATTAATACCAATTTATTTAATTGACTTAGTTTCTTGAGAACTAAATTTGATGGCGGGTTACGTGGAAGTGTAGTACTGAATTATGTGGTGGCGAAACGGATTAGATGATATCGAAATAATTTAACGCGGTCACACCAAAGTTAAAAGATAATTTCAAAATCGCTAAAAAATAACGAAAAAGAGATCTCATTGCAAAAATTCTCAAATCGGGAAAAAATCGAAAAAAATCAATGGAATCAAGTTTTAAAATAATAGTACATTCTATTGACAAATTTTGTAAGGATCTTTAAACATTTGCTGTAAAAAATCAGCGAACAAGTTGAAGATTTTTTCAATTTGTTATTCTTCTTTTGTCAATTTTTTTCAATTTCTATTATAATATTAAATTCAGTGAATTTTTTTTGTGAACAAAATAAAGAATAATTTTTCACTATATATAATTTTTTAACCAGAAAAATTAAATAAGTGCGAAATAGGATGTTAACTGACATCTACCTTTCAACTCCAGGGCCTACATCGTGGTTCATCTGGAAGATGCGAACACATTTAAACAAACAAAAATGACCGAAAAAGCCTAATGGGGCTCATTTAAAAGCGTGGACCTACTTCTTAAAAGTGACAATAATATGTCCGATGGTAGCTCAAAATGCAAAATTCTTTGGGAGTACAATCATTAAAATACCAAATTTAAAGGGTGCAAAATAATCATGCAGGTCATGATATCGATTATAACTCACGGATAAGGGTACAACCCTACTTCATATTTATATAACCATCGAATGATTTAAGCTATTTTTGGGGTCTTGACCATATTTTCCAATCGATTTTGCTGTATTTAGGCTACTTTATGAGTAGAGAACCATCTTACAGAAAAATGTCAACATAGGTAAATGTTTTGGTACAGTCCCCAGGGCCGCCCATCTATAGTGATTTTTATCGATTGGCGGACAACAAAAGGGCATTGTTGATTCGTCATTGAATTTTACTATAAACAAGAACATAAACATCTTGGGGACTGGGTAATGGGTGTAAAAGCGTAATTAACTTTGACTATTCAGAAATTTTTTTGGCCTCCTTCCATAGGTATTTCTATTTAGTCGGAACAATATTTATGTTAAAATTTGTTCACCTTTATGAGCCAGATTTGTAAAATATTATGCTATACAAAATTTGCATTAAAGCCTAAAACTTCGGGCCGGCAACGCGGACCGGGCCAGCTAGTTATTAAATAAAGTGAATTGTCGGTGAATATGTTTGGTGCAACAATACATATCTTCAACCGATTTTGTTTGGACATAAAATTAAGTAGTAAGTATTTCATTAATTTATGCCCATTGATCAATATTTCTCACATATTTTCATTTTTAGATAATTATTCAGCATCAAATTTGACCGCAGATATCGAATCACAATCACAATACATCGTCCGACGTTTACCAAACGCTTAATGATGACCATTTATGTTTAAGTCAGAATAGTTCAGTTAACAGACATGCTTATCCTAGTATTCCTACAACAGAGGTATATTGAAAAACTTAGGAATCTTGAAAACCTTTTGAATATGAAATAAATTCTTTTTCGAAATAACATATTCTATTTTATTAATATGATGTACGTTAAAAAGGTATGGTATAAAATCTTTTATAATTTTATTTTCTAACATTCCAACCAATGGGTATTGCAAAAATAAATATTGTTACCAAAACTATTGTAAGTATTTATAATATCCGTTTTCAATTTTGACCAAAACTATTGCGAATTGCAAAAATATACATTGTGACTTCTGACAAAAGCTATTATAAATTCTAACAATACTCATTTTTCATTATGACAAAGACTATTGTCAATTGCAAAAATAAGTATTGTTACTTCCGACCAAAACTATTATAGACCAGTGCGACAATAACAATAGTTGGACTGACAATACTACATAATGAATCCAACAATACCTTTACAATACATATTTTACTCATCGAATATTGTTGGAACAAACATATTTTCTTCTCTGCTTGAGACAGACGGACATCGCTAAATCGACTTAGAATTTTACTATAAAATGGATACGGTCGTGGAAATTATAAACATATGCATAGACTAGACCATGTGAGATGGTTCTCTACCCCCAAAGTAGCCTAAACACACATTTTAAGTCAAATCGATTCGAAAATATAATCAAGACCCTCGAAATAGGTAAAATCAGGAGGTACTTTTATATGAGCCCTAGCCTAAAACATTGACATTGAAAAATTTCCGCGAAGAGGTCTTCTACCAGAAGCTATATGCCAAATAAGGGCAAAATCAATTGAAAAATGTGACCAAGACCCCAGTAATAGCTAAAATCACCGGATACCTTCACATAAGAGTTATAATGAAGCATGGTCCTATACTTATAATTATTTGAAAGAATTTACTTTTCTTTCTAAAACTCAAATTACCAACATTTGAGGATGTTGAAAAGGGCTATATCATTTGACAATTTGGACCAACCTGATACATATTTTGTACAAATGATTCCTCATGTAACCCACAGAACTGTATCAAATTTAAAACGTTTTCGTAACTTTAGCGGAGTATAGGGCAAAATATTTGCGGCCCTTTGTGTATGGTTCAGCTATACAAAATGGACTTTAAAAAAGTTTACCAAGATTGTTTGCAGAGCGAGTATATGAATCCTTTTCTTACTATATTTTCAATTCACTCCACTATTTTGTATAGTCCGCATATTACAAAAGAAAATTTGAGTCAAATCGGCCCAGCCGTTTTCAACTGATGTGTTACTATACTTTTTAAAATTTTTACAAATGTAAGAAGTAGGTGTGGCCATTTCCAAACGTGTTCTTTAAAAACGTTTGTATAAAAAAATAATGCAAATCGGTCCAGCTGTATATATATATATATATGTATATATACATCAATTGTTGTTCGTTGGTAATGGAATCAGTTGAGAACAGCTGGACCGATTTCCATTATTTTTTTATACAAACGTTTTTAAAGAAGCTATTATAAATTCTAACAATACTCATTTTTCATATATATTTTATATATATTTTTCATATATATATATATATATATATATATATATATATATATATATATATATATATATATATATATATATATATATATATATACATATATATATATATATTGTGTGTCCGTCCGTTGTCCACTATAATTTATAATTATAGATTAATCGGAAGAAATGCCTCGATAATTAACATTTTCAAATTAACATTTTCAAACATTTGGCAATTGAAATGAAACCTTTTGGAATGGAAATTAAACTTTTTCAGTGGAAATGATACCTAACTTACAGTGTATATGAAATTAAACCTTTTACAGCTTTTTGCAAATCAAATGAAATTTTTAGATTTATAGAAAGCAACATAAAAAAATATTTTTTTTTAGTAGGCTTAAAACTAAATCAACTAATTATTATTAATATATAGTTAAAGAGGCACTTTTATTGATTATTAATATCCATATTTACTAATACTTTTTCCTAATTTTTCAATTATTGTAATAAAAAATTGTTCTTTATGGATTCATATAAAAAAATTCTACATTTAATACGCTTCACACTTAACGCTAAAAAAAGAAATTAAACCAAATGTAAGCCCATATTGCTATAAATGGGTACGAATGACTTTAATACTTTTTTAGCGTTAGGTATGAAGAATATTCAATATGAAATATTTTATATGTTATCAGCAGATGTATTACTATACTTTTTATAACTTTATACATGTAGCTTTAAATAAGTATGTGTGGCCAGTTCTTTTGACCCCAAACAGATGGAGAGTCAATAGTACGTCATATACGAAACTGATATCTTCATTATTTTGGCAAATATTAAGATTTTAGGGAAATCGAAAAAGTGTGCGCAAAAGTAGGCGTGGTCTTTCTTTCTTTACATAAAAACCAAACTCGGGTTGGACGAACATTTAAAAAAATGTATATATCCAAAAATGTATATATCTAGACTACATCCTAGTACTTCTGTAGATAACATTAGTAATTATATCAAGTCCAAAATTCAAAATGTTCTTGATAATGATTATAACATTTTAAAATTTAACTCATCTATACCACGTGATTTATCATCATTTTAAATAACGGTTTATTCTAAATTGTATGATCTAATGTTAAAAGATTCTTTTTGGCCAGACGGTACATTGGTAAAAGAATTTGAATTTAGAAAAAGGCGAAATTTTGTAAAACCAATAACGCTACCTTCTGATTCGAATGTCCCAAAAAACTAACTAAATATATATCTTTGCTTTATCAAAATGTTAGAGACCTAAACACTAAACTTAAAAATACATATTTGAAGTCTTTTGAATCAGATCTTAAAATTCTCGTTTTTACAGAAACTTGGCTTAAACCGGATATCCGTGATACTGAAATCTTATCCGATCAATACCAACTTTTTAGAAATGATAGGTTAAATAAAGTTGGTGGAGGTGTACTCATAGCAGTTCACAATTCCATTTCCTCTGAGCGTGTTATGCTTACTGATAGTCAAGATGTTGAATTTGTATGTGTGAAATTAACTTACATTAACCAAACTATTTACATAACATGTTCGTATATTCCTCCAAATTCTGATTCAAACATTTATTTAAAACATTCTGAATTAATTAAAAACGTTTCACATATTCACTCGCCAAATTCTGAATTAATTTGTCTTGGAGATTTTAACTTACCAAATACATCGTGGATCCTTGATGATGACACGGCACATTATGTACCTGTTTCGTCAACAGTACGGTCTAACGATATGGAAAATTTTTGGCAAAATATTTTTGACCAAGGTCTATTTCTATTTCAAATCAATAATATTTATAATTTTAAAGGTAAAATATTAGACTTAGTGTTTTCTTCATTCGTTAATACTTCATTAAGTAAATGTTCACCTTTTGTAGAACCGGAAGATAAATATCACCCAACACTTGTCATAGACCTTGAACTTAATATTCAAACAAATTATGCAAAACCACAAACTAAGCCTCACAAATTAAATTTTTCTAAGACTAATATTGATCTCCTTCGTTCTATATTGTCCAATTCAAGTTGGTCTCATGAAGGTGACATTGAATTGCAAATTTCAAATTTTTATAGCGTACTTAAAAATGCTTTAACTATATCAGTTCCATTATTGAAGTTCTATCCTGACTCAGGACCAGTTTGGTTTACCCCACACCTTAGACGCTTGCGCAACATAAAAAGTAGGTTATTTAAAAAATTTAAAGAATGTAATACCACTTTAAATTATACAAAATATTCACAAGCTCGAAGTAAATATAACATTGAAAATTTAAAGTCTTATTCGATTTATTTAAGAAAAATGAAAAATAACTTTCAGAAGAGTCCTAAAAACTTTTATAAATTTGTAAATTCAAAACGTAAAGTCCGCGAATTTCCTGGTAGCATGAAACTTGGTTGCAGGGAATCAGGGGACCACCTTGGAATAGCAAATTTGTTTGCTGACTTCTTTCAAAATACTTATTCTAAGCCTTCATCCAATCATAATGACAATTATGCTTATAATATTAGTAGATTAAATTATTTCCCCCAAATTATTCTGTCTGAGGAGGAGGTTTTAAATGGTCTTCTATCGTTAAAAAGTAGTAATTCCCCTGGTCCTGATGGAGTACCTGCTTACATTTTAAAGTCATGTGCATATGAGCTTTATTTACCTCTAACCACCATATTTAATTATTCTTTGACATCTGGTTACTTTCCTAAAGTATGGCGATCTAGTTTTATTATTCCTTTGCATAAAGCTGATAATAGAAGTGTCGTCGAAAATTATAGGGGCATTGCAAAATTAAGTGCAATACCGAAATTGTTTGAGTTTTTAGTCTCGCGGAGACTAACGCACTTTGTTTCGTCTATAATATCGCCTTACCAACATGGATTTGTAAAGGGTAGGTCAACTGTAACTAATTTATTAGAACTTATATGTTATGTACACAGGGGGTTTTCAATAAAATGCCAAACTGATATTATATATACTGATTTCAGTAAGGCTTTCGACAAAGTGGATCAAACATTATTATTACATAAACTTGACAAAATGGGTTTCGCAACATTATTTTTATCATGGATATCCTCTTATTTGCAAGGGCGTACACAGAGAGTTTCTTTCAATAATGTTCTTTCTAAACAGATAACTGTGTACTCTGGTTTTCCCCCAGGGTAGCCATTTAGGTCCTCTACTTTTTGTATTGTATCTAAATGACCTTCCAACGGTTATACGTTACTCTAAGATCCTAATGTTTGCTGATGATGTCAAACTTTTTTGTAATATGGACTCTCACATTAGTTCCCTTAACTTGCAACATGATATCTACTGCCTTGTTAATTGGTGCAGTGCTAATGGTATGATGATAAATCTCAAGAAATGTAAAAAACTGTCTTTGTTTAGAACACAACCTTTTAAAAGTGATTACCTCATTGGTTCTTACAAATTGGACAATGTAGACTCATTCGTTGATCTTGGTGTAATTTTAGACAATAAATTGCGTT